GAGTTCCTTGTCTACTGAAGTTACAGTATTTATTGATGTCTGTTAATTGTGTTACAGTCCTGTTCTTACTTCACTTCCAATGCCTTACCTCTCAAACTGGTGTTCAAGAGTACCAACATCAAGGCTGAGCCCATATATGTTATGTTCAAGGTAGGTCTGCTCTCAGTAATTTGGGTGTTTACTGACGAGGTAGTGAAATGTTTCAAATAGCAAAATTTGTATTGAGCACATACATACAGTCAAACTAGATATTTCCAAAAATATGTTTCTAATCTGTGACTGTACATTCAAGTAAAGTTGTCGACATCCTTTACTCGTTTAATTTGTAAAAGATCTTAAAAGTGTTTTCATCAAATTCATTAAAATTTCATTATTTTTTTTCCACATATAGGTAGGATTTTGCTTACAATTTTAAAAGATCCACTGAAATCTCATTTTTTGAAGTGTTTGTGTAGTTATTATTTGGAAATTTAATGTTGGCAGGTTGGGGATGACCTCCGACAGGACATGCTGACCATGCAGATGGTCAAGATAATGGACAGACTGTGGCTTAGGGCTGGACTTGACCTCAAAATGATCACATTTGCTTGTCTGGCCACAGGACCTAAAAGAGGCGAGTGTTGAATGGATACTAGATAGTACAGACAAGTAAAATTAATTAAGTTTTTTGAAAGTTAAAACCATCAGTATTTGTTGACAAAGCTTTCAATAATATTAATGTAGGATTGTCTCTTTAAGTGTCTGTAAATAGTAAGTGTGTTCTTTGTGTGATACAGGTGTGATAGAGCTTGTCATGGAGTCGGACACACTACGAAGGATCCAGGTGTCCTATGGCGTCACTGGTTCATTCAAAGATCGGCCAATTAAAGAGTGGCTTCAAAAACACAATCCCACAGAACTTGAATACCAGAAGGTAGGTTACTACAAGCTGCTCATAAAGAGGGCTCAGTGGAATTCAATGTATTTCTCAAAGACACCATTATTATATTTCCCCTGTAACATGTAAATGACTGAAGCAAATGACTGAAGCAAATGACTGAAGCCTAACCCTCAGAAATCAGCCAGAGCAGATGAATACTATATAACACTTATATCGTACTAGTCATAAAAATGTGACCTAGAAAATCATATTGGTTGTGTAAAAAGATTTATCATAATCCATACTCACCAACCTGAAGAAAATGTTTAGAAATATATAACACTTATATTTCACAATATGAAATTGTTCTGGTCAATCTGTAGTGACCAATCGTTGGCTAACTAGTAAAATATATCTCCACATGATTCATCATCAACCTAATAAGGTGTGAGGATTTACATGAGATGGTGTGATGTAAGATACATGTATTGTTAGGTAATTACTTACAGATGATAAGTGTTGTTAATAAAAGCCCTAACTGCTGTTTGTGACTGGCTACCTTTCTGCTGTTTGTGACTGGCTA